TTAATTATAGTTATATATTTACAATAATTAAATTTTTATATAATATATATAATGAGGGTATAAATATTATCACTTATTGAAATTCAATAAGATAATAAGGTTTTATTTGTTTTTTTCATTTTTAGCTCTTAGTTATCACTTATGTCTGATTCGTTCAAACGTTTTACAATTCAGACTGCTTTTTTTTTTTCAGAGCATCTTATCACTTAATGGGGTCTGAATAAATAAGAAGTAAATTAATATCTTAATTCCTCTTATTTTCCCTTTTTTTATTCTCTTTGAGATCAATGTGAAACAAGAATTTCTATTGGCTATCTATCTTCTATCAAAAGTATCGATCTTTCCGTAAACAAACTCACTGGTGGCATTCTCGATAGCGTCGGAAGTCTAAAAGGTATCCAAAAGGTTCATACTGTGTTTCATCTGTTAAGCAATTGTTAAAATGAATTTTAGCAATAGAAATTTATAAAAATCAAGAGAATTTTACAAAATGTTTGCATCTGATTTTACAAACAAAAAAAAACCATTGATTAAGATTTCAGACTTTCAGACGTTTGTCAGTTTATAAAAGCAAACAGTCTTATTGATTCAGATTTCAGAATTCAGCACCAACTCTTATTAATAAGAAGTAAAATAACACTTCAGAGTTCAACACTTCTAAAAAAACAAACGCCACCAAAAAATAATTAAATTTAATCTATCCTATTTTCACATAAGTACTTTAAAAAGTGCCATTTTTTTTTTTTTTGCAGAGAAGCCTCTTATGTTATTCTTTTAGAAAGATTCCATAAATCACATCCAGAAAGTTTCGATAACATGAACAACTCTAATTAATAACTATAAGTATCATAATATATTGTTTTATAAGATTTATGATCTGCTTACAAAACACTTAGAGGGCGTTTATCAAACTTTTACCTGGGTAAGCGCTTACCAAGTAACATTACCTCACAGGATGAATATGGTAGACCAAGAATCTTACCTGATAAAAGCGAGACAAAGACCAATATTATTACCTGGTAAATGAGAGTGATGACTCTTACCACGGTAACCGCTTACCAGGTAAATTGTTGCATACCATGTGTTTTTTGTGGACTAAAATCTTACCCAATAAGTAAATAATAGTGTTAAAATTTTACCGATAAGCACTTACCGGGTAAGTGTTTGGTAAACAGCCCCTTACTCGGTAAGTGCTTACCGGTAAAATTTAACATTATCATTTATTTACCGGGTAAAAGTTTAGTCCATCAAAACAGCATTGTCTTACTCGGTAAGTGCTTACCGTGTATGCAACAATTTACTCGGTAAGTGCTTATCATGGTAATATTTATATACGGCAAATGTAACAAATCAATTCACACACCTTCGTTATCTTTGGTGAGGTTTGAACCCCTAAGAAGCAAAAAGCTACGGAAATTCTCTTTAATTATATATGCATATGGTAGATGATATGAATTATGTATGCAAGAAGATAGTAGTGAGTGCCCACATAGGAGAAAAGGTGACAAATTGGATACCGCACCATCCAGATCCCCTATATAAACCATTCACAACCATTTCTTATGCACCACTCCTCTCACAACCAACACCAAACAGAAGAAGCAGCACCACTTCAATTCTCTCAAACTGCTTCTTCTGTGTGATTCTTCGTTAATTTCAACAACAATCAGCAAACATGGTGTCAAGTCACTATCCTCACCTCACTCTTGCATTTGGCCTTCTTGGTACAGTACTCTCTCTCTCTCTCTCTCTCTCTCTCTCTCTCTCCATATATATATATATATACTCTTCATGCATGGCAGAATACTGGTTACGTACGAGCCATGCACATAAGAATTAAACCCTAATCCGAGCTAACCTGGTTTCAATATTCTTTTCCAGGCAATATTGTCTCATTCATGGTGTTTCTTTCACCACTGTAAGTTCTCTCTCTCTCTCTCTCTCTCTCTCTCTCTATATATATATATGTATGTATGTATATGTTAAACTAATTAGTTTGTACGTAATATATGTATATGTAGGCCAACGTTCTATAAAATATACAAGAAGAAATCAACAGAAGGGTTTCAGTCGATACCTTATGTGGTGGGATTGTTCAGTGCGATGCTTTGGATCTACTATGCATTGCTCAAAGGAAATGCCATGCTTCTTATCACCATTAACTCCGTTGGTGTCTTCATACAGACATTTTACATTCTCGTCTTCCTCATCTACGCACCCCCAAAGGCCAGGGTACGTATTTATATATACTTAACCACATATATATACATATATATATATATATATATATATAGAGAGAGAGAGAGAGAGAGAGATTCATTTAAGAACGGTAAATATTTTAGGAACTCATGAACGACCCTTTTAGATGATGAATAACGTGATAAAATATTCATGATAAATCTCGACATAGATATTCATAGTTAATAATATTTATCATGAATTCTCACACAAAAAGGGTGGTTCATGGGTTCCAAAATTTATTTTAGAGTTCCTAGATGAAATTGCCCTATGTATCTCTATCTACATATATGTGTGTGTGTATATATATATATATATATATATATATAATTGTTTTTCGACCATTACCCATTAATTGGAATTGGAATCGGAATTGGAATTGCAGATGGAAAGCGTGAAGCTAATCATGGCGTTCATAGTTGTTGGATTCGGATTGATCGTGCTTCTAACCCAATTCCTTGTAAAAGGCGCTAAGCAAGGGGTGATCGTCGGATGGATTTGTCTCGTGTTTGCTTTGTGCGTTTTTGTTGCACCTTTAGGTGTCTTGGTAAGTATACAATCGATAACAACAACAATAACAGTTTTAATTATCAAGATAACAACATCGTGTAACACGTACATGAAAATCATATTATTTTTGTAATTAACTAATTAAATTTACTCGATTTGTTTTTGCAGCGACAAGTGATCAAGACAAAAAGTGTCGAGTACATGCCGATTCTTCTGTCACTTGCCCTCACACTTAGTGCCGTTATGTGGTTCTTTTATGGTCTACTTCTCGGGGACTTCAACATTGCGGTATGACAAATTAAGGCTGTTTTCGATAGCTATGTTATAATTTTTCTAAAATACAACATTAAAAAACCAAAATTTCTAAATATTTTTACATCGAAGTACTCAACATATTTTAACAATTACAACACTAATTACAGTATTAAAAATATCATATTAATGACAAATGCAACAAATAAACTCACACACCTTTCTCATCTTTGGTGAAGTTTAAACCTCTGACCTTTTAGGAGGTGAAAGACTATAACGCTAGGCCAAAGGCCTTTTGGTCTTTTTAGTGTAGTTGTTAAATATACTCTAACCGTGTACTTAAATTAAATTCTTGTTTCCAAAATCATCTACGGTTTTCAATCGAATAATTTCTAGTTAATCAATATATACAGATTCCCAACACGCTCGGATTCACGTTCGGTATCATCCAAATGATACTATACTTCGTATACAAGAACAAGAAACCTGTGATCAACGAGAAGATCACGGAATATAAAGAGAGAATGAGCATGGACGAACCAAGAGGAGTAGTCCCGGATATAAAAGATCAAAACACGATCGATATGGTGAAGCTAAATGCGTTAATGACGTCCGAAAACGTTCCGCAGGGGGTCGTTCGTAATCACACCATTGAAGTCGCGGCTTGATCGATCATCAGGTTGTATGGTTGGATGAATGTTAATTGATTTTGGTTTTATTTATATATAATATATATATATATATAATATATGTTGTCAAGTGTATCTTTCTCTATAAATAATTGTGCACTTGTTGATTCACAAGTTTTCTGCTTTCTTAGCTAATGCAACTCTTGTATTGTTTCAATATTATCAATATAAATGGATTTGATTTCAATATATATATATATATATATATATATATA